CCACGGAGCCACCCAGGCACTCTTACACTTTACAAAATTCTGAATCGGTTCTATTTTTAATAGTGTCTATGATAAAATAATTTAAATGAGAAAATACTTTCCTTGGGGGGGGGGCCTGGGGGGCCCAGCCAGTTCAGCGGCTGCCTTTGCCTCAGGCCATGTTCCAGGGTCCTAGGATAGAGCCCCCCAATGGGCTCTTTGCTCAGCAGGGAGCCTGCTCCCCCTCTTCCTCTCACACTATGTGCTGTCTCTCCAATTAGTAAATAAAATCTTTTAAAAAAGAAAGAAAGAAAGAAAAGAGAATACTTTCCTTGGTTCTCAATTTTTCTATCAGGTCCTCCCGCAGAGGACACTTAGAGCCTCTTAGGCTGGCCTGCATGGCAGGTCTTCCTTAGGGAGGAATCTCAGACAGGTGGCGGCATGGCCCCCTCTGCTGACGGGGGACAATTATTCGCTCTCTTCTCCTTCCTGGCAGCCACTGAGAGGGCCGTCAGCCTTGGCTCAGTCCGGTGTTCCTGTCTGGGACTTTGAAACTTGAAGGAGTCAAGTCAGGTCACAGGGTCAGTGAGATGGGACTCAGGAGGAGGGCAGTGGCGATAGAGGCCAGCGGCACTGCAGCTAACGGCCAGTGGTGGCCGGGCCAGGACAGCAGTGTCTGGTGGCAGTGTGCCAGCGGGGATTCCTTAGCGGGGCATTTCTGTGATGTAACCTGGGCCATGGTCCCACCCCCGCTCACCTCCTGTTGGTTGCTGCTCATTTTCAAGGCTTGATTCCCTGGTTTTTATGTTGATCCTGTGAACGAACCTATGTCCTTCTATTAAATCCTTTTTCTGCTTCCATCAGCCAGGATTGGCTCTGGAAGTCTGAGCCAGAAGTTGTTCGTTCATTCATTCGCTCACTCACTCACTCATTCATTCAATAAAGTGATCATTAACTGGCTAATCTAGGTTGCACATTGTTGTAGGCACAGGGATTTGCAGTGAACAAAAAATTCATTCCCTTGAGAAGCTTATATTCCAGCGGCTCTCACTTCTTCCCAACCCTGCCTCCTTTACCTTTCTCCAGAGGTCTGCTTTACTTTGATCCTATCCCTCTAGCCCTATGCCAGCTAGTCCCTCTCAGCTCACCCTGACATTAAGGAAGCAAGGACCCTTTCGTGCCTTTCTGGCCTCGTTCTTGAGTTCAGGACAAACCCTGCTAATTGACACCACGAGTGGTCATTCACCCTCACGCCAGAAACCAGCCCCTGGACTGTTCAAGGCACTCTGCTAGGAGCCGGAGTCGTAATGCGAAACTAGTCATTGCCCTCAAAGAGATCACCGTGTAGCAGCAAAGACAGAAAACAGGCATTTAAGTAAGCGGTAAGCAGATGATCTGTGCCACCGAAAAGGAAGTACGGTGACACCAAAGTACATCTGATCTAGTTTATTAGGAAGGAGCCAGAGAAGGCTTCCTGGGGGAAAGTGATGATTAGGTGAGATCTGAGGGATGAGCTACAGTTAGCCAGCTGAAGGGGATACAGAGCGTAACAGTCAGTAGGAGCAACACACAGAGTATTCTAGAAGTAAGAGAGAGCATGGCACATGAGAGAACATGGAAGGGGCTCACTATGGTGGGGGCAGGAAATGTAAGCAGGCCTGAGGGGTGGGATAATAATTTAGGGGAGACTGCAGAGGCAGAGGAAGAATTTCACCAGCGATCTACAGCTGTGTTCTCCATCAGAAGCCAGGCTACAGCTTTCGCAGAGGTGCACGGAAGGGTGTGTCCTCAGGTCTGCAAATCAGAAAGATCACTTGGATGCTGGGTGGAATGATCTGGAGAGGGGAAACACGGAAGCATGGAGACTGCTTAAGAGCTCACTAAAGTAGTCCAGAATAGATGGACCATACCCTGAACTAGCAGGGGTAGGAGAGAGGAGAAGAAGCAGAAATATCCAAGAGACACTCACTGGTTACCATCAAGAAGACGTTATGGTTGGGCTGGATCCTGGGTGAATAAGAAGGATGAGAAGTCAGAGACAACACCCAAGTGCCTGATTTAAGAAGCCAGGTGGACAGTGGGACTTTAATCAAAAAGAAATGAAATGCTAGAGGCCTCTGGGTGGCTCAGCTGGTTAAGCATCTGAGCTCAGGACATGATCATCTCAGGGTCATGAGATCCGAGTCCTGTGTTGGGTTGCATGCTCCGCAGGGAGTTTGCTTGAGATTCTCTTCCCCTCTCCCTCTGCCCCTCTTCTCCTTCTCTCTCTTGCAAATAAATAAATGCATCTTTAAAAAAAAAGATTTTTTAAAAAATCCTTTTTTTTAAAAAAGATTGATTTATTTATTCATGAGAGACACACAGAGAGAGGCAGAGACACAGGCAGAGGAAGAAGCAGGCTCCATGCAGGGAGCCCGACGTGGGACTCGATCCCGGGTCTCCAGGATCAGGCCCTGGGCCGAAGGCGGTGCTAAACCGCTGAGCCACCCGGGCTGCCCAAAATGCATCTTTTTTTAAAAAAATGAAATACTAAAAAAAAAAAAAAAGAAAGAAAAAGAAACGCTAAAGAGGAAGTGACTTCAGTTTGGTCATGTTCAGTTTAAAGTGGCCGAGGACAACAGCCTGATCCCAGCTGTGTATGTGGGTCTGGCTTTCAGCCCAGAGATCTGAGGTAGAGGAGAGGACCTAGGATCATTCAGACAACCCCTGAGATCACAGGAGTAGTTGAGATGACCCTGGGGTCGGTACAATCATGGGGTGGACTTGGACTGACTGTTACAAAGCTTCACTGCCCCTCCCTGGGGAACAATGAGACTTTACCACCTTGTTGATGTCACGTTTGGTCATGTAATTTGTTTTGACCAATGACGTGCAAACGGAAGTGATGGGTGTCACCTCCCTTCTGTGCAGAAGCTCTGAGGCTAGCTCAAGGCTCCCTGTGGTCTCTTCTCCATCTGCTATGACCAGCAGCAACATCCCAGACAGAGGCCACTCAGTGAGCCTGGCTCTCAGGATAAAGTCTACAAGCAACCAAGTGATAATGATAAACGTTTACTATTATAAGTCACTGAGATCTGAAGATCATGGGTTATTGCAGCAAAACCAGGCCTCCTCTGGCTGCTACAGGTGGGAAGAGAAGCAGGTCTGTGATGGAATCCTGAGGGCAAATGATATGTAAGGGCCAGCAGATAAAGGGGAGCCTCCAAAGAAAATTCGCTCCTGCCCCAGCCTCTGATGTGTAGAAACTTCGACAAATTAGCCTTTGTCAGACTCCTCTCTGCTGGCCAACTCGGGTTTCCACCCTAACAAAAGCAATCCTTTTTTTTTTTTTTTTCCTGCTCACTCTGCTCCTTTACCTTTTGTCAGAAGCCGTTTACATCAATTTTCAGGCCTATAGACACCAACTCTGCACAGGGCACATCTGGTGACAGATGACAGGAGAAGCAACATTATCATCAGGGCACCTGGGTGACTTGGTTAAGCACCTGCCTTTGGCTCAGGTCATGATCTCAGGGTCCTGGGACTGAGCCCCACATGGGGCTCCCTGCTCAGCGGGGAGTCTGCTTCTCCCTCTCTTCCTGCCATCCACCCCCCTCCAGCTTGTGGTCTCTCGCTATCTCCCTCTCAAATAAATAAATATGATCTTTTTTTTTAAATTAAGATTTTATTTATTTATTCATAGAGACAAAGAGAGAGAGAGGCAGAGACACAGGCAGAGGGAGAAGCAGGCATCATACAGAGAGCCTGATGTGGACTCCAGGGTCTCCAGGATCACGCCCTGGGCTGCAGGAGGCGCCAAACCCCTGCGCCACCGGGGCTGCCCGATTCCCTCCAATTTCTAACCAATTTCTCAGATTTATTTCTGGCCAACCTTATCATGGGTCTTGGAGCCACCCCCCTCCCCGGGTCTGGGTTGTCTGGGTAGCCTGATGTGCACTGACTCCTGGCACAGCCCCTGGGACAGTCTGCACCTGTGGTGCCCATGCCCACTCTGACTCATCCCGAGCTTCTGGCCTTGGCTCCCAGATACATCCCCAGACAAACAGTTGTCTGGCCAGTGGACCTTTCCAGATTCCAGGCAGTCTGGTTCCTCTTTCCTTCATACTCATGCACATCACCCCCTAACCCCACCACCCAAGCCTCTGGATTCAGGCCATGACACCCTGGATGCTTACTGCCAAAGCTTCTCATCCACCAACTTTCTCCCCGTTGACCAGAGAGTCACTGCTCACCTGGTACAAACTGACATGTGTTAGTTTGTCCTCACTTACACTGAACACTGTGACACAGCTTCTGCTAACCTCAGCCCCCGGGACAAGGCTATTCACTGGGCTGTCTGGCTCCCCCATCTTCCAGGCTCCTTGACATGTTTTCTTTCCCTTCCACCTAAAAGTCTTTTCTACACCCCCCCCCCAAATGAATAAAACTATGCCACACCCTTGGTGTGGACCCAGTCCCCAGACCAGAGGTAGCCAGCCTACATAATGCTTATGATCAGCATGGGGGTCAAGATGATGAAACACACCTCCTTTTCCTTAAGTTCACTCACTGTTCGACATTCTGTCCATGTTGTTGGCTACTAACATTTATCGAAAGCTTATTGCACGCGATGTGCTAAATGCTTAACATATTATCCATTTTGTTTCTCACAGTCAGCAGAAGAGTAGTTTTACTTTCCTCATTTTACAAATGTGGAAACTCAGATTTTAAAAGTCTACATAATTGCAGGAGGAAACACAGCCAATTCCAGGAGGGGTATAAGTTTGCTTGATTCTAGAGTCTTTATTTCCTACTATTCCACTATTTGTGTGTGTGTGTGTGTGTGTGTGTGTGTGTGTGTGTGTGTAGTTAGAGGTGTCAAAATCTTCTAATCTTTGTTAGACAGCAGGTAATATATGCATTGCTGTTAGTTTATTTTATTTTTTATTTTTTTATTTTATTTTTTTTTTCAGCTGAAAGGTCTCACATTTATTACTGAACCAACCTACTTGTATAGAGGCATAGTAACAGAGAACATCATTCCCTTGATAAGACATGTCTATTGGCCAGGTAGGAAGGATGTTTCCATATTGATAGGATAGGAACATGTGATCTCCATGTGGCTTAAATATGTGTGCCAAAAAAAAAAAATACGTGGGCCAATTATGTTTGCTATTTCATGATGTGCGATGCTTCCTCACAGACCCAGCTTGGTTCTTCTCCAGTGTCTCCTCTTGGAGTTGCACCTGATTTTATTACCAGTTTTCATCCGAATCCACTGGGGAATAGGACAATTCTGCTTTTGTTTCTTGGCCAGGAATCGCTTGATTCTGAAAGTCTTGTGAGAAGACATGGAGATCACAGTCAACCACACGCAACCAGGATGGCAGCGGAAAGGCAGTTTTTTTTTTTAATGTAAAATCTATGTCCAATGTGGGCATGACCTCGAGATTAAGCATCATGTACTCTACCCACTGAGTCAGCCAGGTGTCCCAACTATACTGTGTTTTAACTGCCTGGTATCACACCTAGTGCAATACAATATTCCAGTGGAATTTTTAAGACTCTGGGATTTATTAAGCTTTTAAGTGTATTAAATAGACTCTTCTAAAATTATATTTTATGTGAAAGTCATTTAGAGATTGCTCTATGAGGGCAGGAAGCCAGGAGTCCTGGGTCTCTGTCCCACCTCTGACATTGCCTAGCAGCACGTACCTCTCTGAATCAGTCTTTTTATCTGTAAAATGAAGGAATTTGATTCACTCCATCAGGGTCATTCCTGCTCTAAGATGCCACAATTCAGAAGACACTAAATGTCACATCAAACCCCTCTTAAAAGAAGAGCTTTATATTTAAAGTAGATTAATGCTTGCTCATCATAGTTACTAGTATTTTCATTTTTGATTTTCTTTTGTCTTTTTCCATCCCAAAAGCTTTGTAAAACCATTTTCCCCAAGGATCAATGAAAACAGGAAAAGCTGATTTCATATGACCTCCAATCTAATGAATGTATTACAACATAACCATTATGGACCATCAGTGGTAATTCTTATTTTCCCACATCAATGAAAAGCTCAGAAATGAAAATTTCATTGCATATTCTGATTTTAGTGGGCTCCAGAAGGCATCATGCAAGGAATTGGTTCTAGAGAACTGACAAGCTATTTCCGTAAAGGGCAAACTAAAGATGCCCCGTATTGACATCTCCTTTAGAAATGACTGGGAGTTGGACTTCAGAGATCCCACTAAAGATTCAGACTGTTTATTCTGGCAGAAGCCCATGAATGCAATCTTCAGCTGCCACTGGGAGGAAAAAAAAACAACAACAATGACAGATGAGTTTAAAGTTTTCTCAGATGATTCCAAATTTGTTAGTCAAAACCCTACTGACTGAGGCTGATGGGGGTAGGAAATGGAACAGACACAGAGCTCTTAGATCTAATTCATTTTTTCACAATTTATCTCTCGATCCTGCTCAAGTTACCATCATCATGACAAAGGAAGTCTGGAGTGAGGCACAGGGAAAAGGAAAAGGTTTTACACCACAGGATGAGATTGTAGAACATCTGGTGTGAATGAGTTTCAACAGAAAGGAATGAGGGGAACAGAAAAGATTAGGAGTAAATGGGGAGAACAGTGCTTCCTTCTCATAAATTTTTGTGACAGTAAGTACCTATCATGGAGAATGGCATGAACGAGGCCTGCAGGAAATAGTAATGGCCCGAGTGTCTGGGTGGCTCAGTCAGTTAAGCGTCCAACTCTTGGTCTCCATTCAGGTCATGATCTCATGGACTGTGAGATTGAGCCCCGCATGGGGCTCTGAGCTGGGCATGAGCCTGCTTAAGATTCTCTCTCTCCCTCTCCCTCTTACTCATGCCCTGCACTTTCTTTCTCTCTCAAATTAACAAATAAATCTTATAAAAAGAAACAGTAATGGCCATTATTATTCTTTTTTTTAATTTTTATTTTTATTTATTTATTTATTTATTTATTTATTTAGCCATTATTATTCTTATATAAATTCACTATCAGAGAGTTTCCTAGTGCATTCTTTCTCCATATGACAGGTAAAGTGCTCGAAGTTTAACCCAATCCAATTTTCTCTACCGTTGTTGAAGTGAGTTTTAATCTTGTGAATGTCCCTTAACTCTTCACCTTTTCATTACTTACAGTTTTAAAGGTTTTTTTAAATTTTTATTTATTTATGTATGATAGTCACAGAGAGAGAGAGGCAGAGACACAGGCAGAGGGAGAAGCAGGCCCCATGCACCGGGAGCCCGACGTGGGATTCAATCCCGGGTCTCCAGGATCACGCCCTGGGCCAAAGGTAGGCGCCAAACCGCTGCGCCACCCAGGGATCCCCCTACTTACAGTTTTAAATAATTATTTAGTATTTTAATATCTGACCATACGCCTCGAGGAAAACAAAGTAACACACGAACAGGAAAGTACCTAAAGCGGCTTATCAATTTCTATGAAATCAGACACATAGATAACTACCAACCAAGTCAAGAAATGAATGAGAACCACCATATGATCCAGCAGTTCTGGGAATATATCTGAAGGAGATGAAAACACTATGAAGACATAACTGCACCTCCATGTCAACAGCAGCATTATTCATAATTGCCAAGACATGGAAACCACCCAAGTTCCATCCATCAATGGATGACTGGAGAAAGAAACTGTGGTATGTCCATACAATGGAATTGTATTTATTTATTTATTTATTTATTTATTTATTTATTTATCTATTTATTTAATTTATTTATAAAGATTTTATTTATTTATTCATGAGAGACACAGAGATAGAGAGAGGCAGTGACACAGGCAGAGGGAGAAGCAGGCTCCATGCAAGGAGCCCGACGTGGGACTCGATCCCCGGTCTCCAGGATCACACCCTGGGTTGAAGGCAGGTGCTAAACCACTGAGTCACCCAGGCTGCCCAAATGGAATATTATTTAGAGTAAATTCTGCAATTTGTGACAATATGGATAGACCTTAAGGTCATCATGCTAAATGAAATAAGTCAGACAGAGAAAGATAAATATTATATGATCTCATTTACATGTGGAATCTAAAAACGAAAACAAAAATAAAACAAACTCTGAAAAACGAGATCAGATTTGTGGTCACCAGGGGTGACAGTGTGTGTGTGGTGGTGGTGGTAGGGGGGTGGTTTGGAGGAAGGTGGTCAAAAGGTACAAAGTTCCAGCTCCAGGATAAATACATACTAGGGATGTGATATACAACATGACTCTGGCTAACACTGCTGTACGGCATATACGTAAGTTAAAAGTATAAAACCTAATAGTTCTCACCACACGGAGAAAGACACTGTTTTTCCTTTTTTCTTTTTCCATATCTCTATGAGATGATGGATATTAACTAAACTTACCATGGCTACCATTTTACAGCACATGTAAGTCAAATCATTATGCCACACACCTCGTACGTATGCAGTGCTGTACGTCAATTATACCTCAGTAAAACTGGAAAAGAAAGAAATGAATGAGCATCATCTGCCCAAAGACTCCCACACACCCCTTCGTGATCCCGGCTTCTTCCTTTCTTAGAAAGGTGATGATTCCCAACTTCCAAACACGCACCTCCTAAACAATAGATCAGTTCTTTTTTACCCTTTTGAAACCTAAAAGAATGGAATCACACAATGTGTATTTTCCTCTACTCGGCTTCCTTTGATCAGCATTATGGTTTCTAAATTAGTTCATGTTTTTACACATAACTGTAACTTACTCATTTTTGTTGCTGTTTAGAAATCCATCCTATTCTACAGTTTTCCCCTTCTACTGGTGACAGGTGTTTGGGTTGTCTCTAATTTTTAGTTCTCACAAACTATGCTGCCATAAACGTTCTGTTCCTGTTTCTGGCATTAGTGTGCAGAAATTCATAGGTATTGTCTTAGGATTGAAACTGCTGGGTTATGGGGTATGTGGTATATTCACTTTTGGCAGATAATACCAAACTGTTGTCCAAACTGGTGGCCATCTGCATTTTTCATTCTCTCACTCTTTTTCCTGCTTCATATTTGTCCATCCCCTCATCTCCACTTTTTTCCCCATCCTTACTTTTCTCTCTAAGAGATTTTGGTACATACCCTCCAAAAAGTCAGTTAATACCATTTAGTGGAATACAACAGACTCACTGATGTATTTCATGTTAGGGAGGATGATAGAAGATGTTTCTTTCCAAATTCCTATGCAAGTCAACATCGGATCCAGGGATCAAAGCTAATATAGCATAGTTAAACTTTCATTTATACCTAAGCCAAAGATACTATCTTCTTTACACTGTGCAAAAGCAACCTTCCCTTTTCATGTTTGACTTCCAGAAAGCTTGGAGCCAAATTTACTCATCTGCAGTAAGTAAAAAGGTCAGCACTTCTAGAGAAGTGGGTGGCCCCACACCACTGTGTCTGAATCTCCTGGAGGTACACGTTAATAATACGGGGGCCAGAGTTCATGGGGCAAGGCCAAAGAACCTGCACTTTTAACAAATACCCAACTGTGAGGCCAATGCACACCATATTGGAAAACCACCGGTATAAAATAATGTTACATAGCACCCCATCCTAACTTTTCTTTCTGACTCAATAGTATGTCCTCATTGTGTTTCTCTCCTCTGTCACCCAACTCTTTTTTTTAAGATTTTTATTCATTTATTCATGAGAGATACACAAAGAGAAAGAGAGAGAGGTAGAGACATAAGCAGAAGGAGAAGTAGGCTCCCTGCAAGAAGCCGGATGTGGGACTCAACCCTGGACCCCACAATCATGCCCTGAGCTGAAGGCAGACACTCAACTGCTGAGCCACCCAGGCATCCCTGTCACCCAACTTTTAATCAATAGAATACTGTTATATTTCATGTCGACTTGTAAACCATCCATGATCATTTCTGATTCAAGAACTGAATCTGGGGCAGCCCCAGTGGCTCAGCGGTTTAGTGGCACCTTCGGCCCGGGGCGCGATCCTGGAGACCCGGGATCGAGTCCCACATCAGGCTCCCTGCATGGAGCCTGCTTCTCCCTCTGCCTGTCTCTCTCTCTCTCTCGAATAAATAAATAAAATCTAAAAAAAAAAAAGAACTGAATCTGTAGACAGATAAATGCCAGACTAGACATATAGAAAGAAAAAAATAGCACTTGTCACGAAATTATCAAAAAAAAATTAAGAAGACACAAATTACTGTATTGGTTATACACTGAGCCATTTATAATTTCATCACGGCCAATTTTAAGTACTAATAGATAGGGAGCCCACATTGGGCTTCCCTCAGGAAGCCTGCTTCTCCCTTTGCCTATGTCTCTGCCCCTCTCTCTGTGTCTCTCATGAAT